TTTCAAAGGCAACCAAAATTTGGTCGAACCATTTTTTTTGCAAGGCCCTACTCGCCAAATCCCAGACGGGGCTCACTTGCTTAGTCTCGGCGTGGGGCAACATGATGTGATGTCAGTGTGCACTGGCAGAACGTTGATTACACCAATTGGACAGCTCTCTCTAGGAGATGTTTTGTTTGCTGCGGAGCTTGGTGCCCTCATTGTTTGCGCAGCTTTCTTGGAAGTGTTTCTCATTACAGGTGAGCGAAAGTTCATCTTGCAGGTCTCAGTCCACCTGTGGAAAGAGGGTTCCTTGTTCCATCCTGCGAGCCAAGACTTTCTGATGGAATGGTGTGACCGCTTGAGGCCCATAGTATATGCCAAACGGTCTTGCGGCTCCATTCAAGCCTGCCTGAGACCAGCTGAAATCTTGAGGCTCGCCCAAGAAAATTTTGACCGTGGTGCCTGATCCTGGCTGGTTTGGAAAAGTTAGCATGTGTGGGCGTGCGAAGTCACAGTCTTTTTCAACCAAGGGCTCTTAAAACCCTGTAAGTAATCACATCGTGTGTTCGCATCCTTCTCACACTTTCAGTTTTGTAGAAAGAACGTCTTCATTTTCGTGATCCAACAGTTCCCCATTCCAATTCACTTTCCCAAGTTGATCACGCATGACTGTGGCCATTTACCACTATGTCAAGCCAGGAAAGGAAGCTTGGAAGCTTTTTCTGCTGACTTTGAAGGCTCGCCTCTTTGAAAACATGACTTCACAGGCGAGCGTGCCCCAAACCCCCCGAGTCGGCTGCCAGCGTGGTGGAAAGTCTGGGCGACGCAGCCCTCTTGACCGAGGAGGAAGTCACAACGAACCAGTGCTGCACTTGCCACCAGCCCATTGACAAGGACAATTCTTTGGTCATTGTTCGGGCTGGCGTCAAGTCTTCGAATGAGATCCGCCGTTGCCGGGCTTGCCACAACATGCGCAGCGCCATTGAAAGGCTGAAGCGCAACCATGGAAGTCTTGTCAATGATTTCACTTCTGCGGAGGGAGACAGAGTCTCCAGCTTCTACCGGGAGAACCCGCACCTCAGGGGAGAGGATCTCCGCAAGAGATTGGAGGAAATTGTTCAGGATTGGAAGATCAGCACCACCCGGTATGAGTTCAACCAAGAAGCCGATTTTGTTGAGGAAAGTGACCTCAGGGCAAAATATGCTGACAAGCCCGAGATCGCCGAGAACATCCTGAAGAACAGCCGTTCCTTCTTTTGTCCAATCAAGAAGGTGATCCTATACGCCGACCCAAAGTACCAGGCCAAGGTGTCTGACCAACATGAACTTGGGCATTCAGAGAAAAGGAAGGGCCAAGCGGTTCTGGATGACACCACGGCTGCCAAAGCTCCAAAGAGACCAAAGAAGGCCGACAAGAATGGCAAGGACGGTGAACCTGCCGACGAGCCCAAGCTCAAAGCGGGAGAAAAGAAAAAGGTCGCAAAGAAGGCTGAGCAAGTTTCTTCCAAGGTCCTGCAAATGAAGGACACCTTGGAAAAGTGCTCCTCGTTTGGAGATATGATCCCACCGTACGTCATCAAGGCTGCGTCGGATGCCAAAGACAAGTCCCAAGTCGCAATCCAGAACGCCCAGACTTGCCTTGACTCTGGCAAAGGGGATTCCAGCCACCTCATTGAGACCCTGGATGCTACTCTCAATGAGTTGAGTGATGGTTTGGCCAGGGTGTAAAGCCAGTTGGAACAGGCTTCCAAGTTCAAGTGATTAGATGAGGCTCGCCCATCTAAATCACACATGCGCCATGCTGTGGTTTGCCCAGCAACAGCCACTTTTTGATCACAACTGGGAGTTGTGCGGTGGGAAAAGGAATGCGTGACCAATCAGATGTGTTGAACGGGTTGTTGTTTTAGAGTTAATGTAAAATGGTTTACTCCATTGACAGACCTCCCCCTGCGTCCAGGGATCCAGAAGGCTGATGGTGTTTCTAAACTCTCTGGACTTTAATGGGGTTGTCATGGAACAATATTGAACGAAGTTTGGCATGGTCACTGCATAGACTATCCATATTGGATTTGAATCTTCAATGGACATTAACCAATGTTACTGTGATTGATTTGGTTGGGTGGCAAACATGGGGCGTATCAGGGGGCGCAGGGGCGTATCGGCGTATCAGGCGGGTATCAGGGGCGTATCAGGCGGGTATCAGGGGGGGTATCAGGGGTATCAGGAAACTATCAGGGACGATCAGTGTTATAAGACGGTTGGTCACTGTTTTATCTCCACGATCTATAGATGAAGTTTCTCCCCACTAGACTTCCAACTAGTCATGAACAACACGGTATGTGTCTTGATGGACCAAGTGCCTCGTCGAATACCTCCATTATCATCAATCAGTTGTTTTTTGTAATTTTGGCGTTGGTTGTAGTATATATTCTTGAGATGTGATATAGGTCTCAAGTCTTTTAGGGCGAGCCTCCACACTTCATGGTTGCTGGGCGAGCCTCAGCCATGAACATTCTGCCGAAGAGGGCCTTTGTTTTGGTTTCATTTCACCTTTGGTGGTACTATAAAGGCTGCCATACACATAAAGGCTACCGTTGCAAGCTAGCAATTTTTATACTGTACCGCTACCAGAAATCATTATCATTACCAAGCGAGGGTGATGTTGATGAATCTGGTTGACTGAAGCAAGTGCTTCACAACACCCAATTGAGCCATAAAGGGTATTTGGGTTCATAAACTACTTGGTAGTTAAACATCAGTGGAGGAAAGGTAGTGAGATAGCGTTGTATTGGAACTGATCGCATTGCTGGGTGGCCTCATTCCACTTTACATAAGTGTATTGTCGAAAGTCATTGAGTTCTTTGTATGTGATGTTGCTGTCAAACAGGAGATTGGCAAGGTATTGATGTTGGGGTCGGTTGGAGGCGTCGAGCTGGTCAGCATGAAAATCGAGCCAGGCAAGAATTTGCTCTTTGGGTGGTAGAGTTGGAAAGGTTGGTGTGGGTCGCCATCGGTTGGGTGGTCGACGGACCGTTGGTGTGAGTGGATATTTGGAGGTGTCAGTGTTGGTGTTGTCTGCTGTGGAGGCATCGGTATTGGGTCGTAGATCGATCGGTTGTCTGGAGCGGCTGCGAGAAGGTGTGGAGGAGTAGGAGTAAGTAGATGTGGTTGGCGAGCGGTGTCGCCAGGAGGAACTGTGATGTCTGGTGGATTTGGATTGGTGGCGATGTCGCCGGCGGCGGCGGTGTCTGTGGCGGCCGCTTCGGTGATGGTCGCTCTTGCGCCGGCCCCGGTGATGGTGGCGGCGACTGCTGTGAGGTGGATGGGGAGATGGCGGGGCTGGTGAAGCAGTGTTGTCTGGTATGTCGGTGGTGGGTTCTGGGGCCACTGTGGCGGGTGGGGCCGAGGCGACGGATGGTGATGGAGAAGGTAGTGAACCGGTGGCAGTGGCGGTTTGATTGGGAGCTGGAGTGGTGGGATCCAGTGGCTGATGTGGTGGTGGAATCTGCGGTGAGTCACTGAGGGCTAATTGAGGTTGTGATGGAGGTTGATGTACGGGTTGTGTAACTGGAGGAAATGCTGAATAAGGTTGCCAGACCCCTTGTGGCATGTGCCAGTGGGGTTCGATTGGAGTGGTAGCTGAAAGTACTTGCTGAGGTGTAGGAGGTGGTTGAATCTGTGTAGCGGTGGCATGATCTGTAGATGGGGAGTGGTGCAGTTGTTGCGCAAGGTAGGATGGGGGTAGTGCCGGTGGTTGAAAGGCGAGTTGTGGTAGTGTGGGTTGCGGCTGAGAAGGGTGTAGCATTGTCCATGTGGAGGGATTGCCAGAAGGTGGTACAGTTGCCGGTGCTGAGTGAAAAGGAAGTGAAGTTGGAATCGACATAGGTTGTGGAGCTGGGAATGTCTGATGTTGTGGTACCGGGTATGGTTGATGTTGTGGGTAAGGAAATGCTGGTGTGGTATGTGGCTGTGGCAAAGGTGCTGTCGGTTGTGTTGGTTGTGTTGGTGCGATGGGTAGTGGAGGTGGTGTGGCTTGTGAATATGGCCAGGGGTACTGCATGAGGCGTCCAGTAAAAGGTTGGTGAAAGGTCGTCACAGCTGTGCAGCAAAGTCTTCAAAATGGCGGCAGCGACGGCGCGGCGCGGCAGCGGAAACTGCGAGTGTTGGAAGCATGCGAGTTAGAGGTCGTAATGCTTGTGTTGATGTTGAGTGTGTGTGGTTGCGGAGCTGTGAGAGTTGTCTTCATGTGGAGTGTGGTATGTGATGGTGTGTTCATGCACATCGAATTAAACTGTCGGAAACTCAGGTCGGATTGCTTGAGCGCATATGTAGAAACATGCGGAAAAAACATGCAGAAAAACCTTGCAAGTGCTGCACACTCTGAAACCGTCAGTTCCCGTGGTGAGGCCCGGCGGCCGTGGTGGCAGTTAATTCGGTGGTTGTGTAGGTGACTTCCAGTGGGGTTCCTGTGAAATGTGGTGAGGTCAGTTAGTGCTTGCACGATGAGACAGCGCCCCAATGACGGGGATCACACTCAGCACCCGAGTGGGACGGCTGAGCGAAACACACTTCGACAATTGTATTCAGTTAACTCAGTTACCACGATGGGAAGGATGGTGACAGAAACCGCATGGTGAAAGGTCCGAAAACTTGTTGTTCAAGTCTGCAGAGACGATCCGTCACTCGGTCGGCACGGTGCAAGGCTGCAGTCAGCTGTGGAAAAAATCTGTTTGTGGGGAAAGTAGCATGAAGGACCATGAATCAAAAAGTGGAAAAGTGGAGTAACAGCTTGTGAAAGAACGAGCAGGTACGTCGGCCAGCGTCCTGGCCGATATCCTCAGGACACTGCAGAGAGCTTTGTTAAGTGGAGCTCTGCACGCCTGCTCCACTCCCCTGCTGGTGAAACTTTGGGTGACATGTGGCAGTGGAGGTTGTGAAAGGAAACCCTTGGTCCAGGGGTCGACACACACACACACACATACACGGTAAGCTGTCACGAATGATTTTTCCGAAGGCACTCATCAGCTCCTGCACTGCTGCCAGGGAGGCTGGGCGCCAGAAGGGCTCAGACGCAAAGACGGCATCCTTGGCAGGGCCCAGAAGCCCATAATGTATATTCCAAATGTCGAATGTTGTAAATCAACTACACCTAAACCAGCAAGGGCTTTGCCACAGCTGCTGGCAGTCACCGTTTCGTTCTCGAGGCATGTGGCTACCAGCCAACGTTGACGACATGGGTAGTAGTGACTTAGTAGTGAGCCAGTGTGCCAGGATACTTGAGCAAATCCGCGGGTTTCGGGAATTACTATGTGCTGCCCCTGACTGATTTCTGGAGACAAAGCCACATCCACATATCACCACTACGCACCAGGCGCTAGCATGTGCCTTTTTCCTGCACAGACAAAAAAGGCACCATGTGAGTTCAGCAGCAGGTCATCATGGACTCCTGCAGTACGAAAACAATGGCCACACATTGCATTGTCCACGATGCGGATATGGCAATCAGACTTGGGGGCACGGCATTCAATTTCTAGAGATACCGAGATAAAATATATACCTCCATCTCGCGACATCAACTCTTCGAGCATCAGGGATATCACACAACATGTGGCAAGCCGTCCTCACTTCTCTGCAGGTTTCTTCTTGCGTGCTGGTGGGGTGCCACCCTCACGGAACCCGTTCTTCAAGCGGCGAATGATGTGCTTGACATACCTCTCCGAACAGCAAGAGACAGAACAATCGCATTGTGAACAAACGTTTAAACACTAAACTGCTAAACCTCCCTCCAAGCTGGAAAGTTCAACGCAGCTTTAAAACTCCCTCTTGGGCCAAGAATTTTCAACGTACATGACACGTTCAGTTGAAGCTGCAGGTGCTCTCCTGATCTCTCCTGCCTCATGCGGCCAGTGCCCGGAGCCTTTCTGCGCTTGGCCTTCTTAGACCATTCATAAGAACGAATCTTCGCGGCAGGATAGCCGCAGGAGGCGCACTGCTTCCTGGAACGCAACCCGTCCAGACCGTCCAGTGTCCAGTGTGACTCATGAGACGTGAGAAATGATCCGGTCCGGTGACTTTCTCGCCAAAGGCCACATCCTAATGCCTAATGCTACTCTGCTACTAGATGCTACTAGACACTACTGACTACTGTAGTTACAAGATGTTACAGGTGCCACCTTGCAGCATTCCAGCAAACCAAAGTATTCATGCGGTTGAAGACATGTCTGCACAAATCAAATGATGTATCAGAATAATGTACTGTACTACAAATGTGTCTTTCTTTGCTGGTTTGACTCTCCTTTGCTGGTGATAGGAGCGCTTCCCACAACGCGGGCACATTGCGTGAGTCTTCTTGTGGCGCTTGCCCATTGCCGGAGTTCCATCACCCATGGTGGCAAAACCTGAGCCCTGCCGCGCAGCCCGTCCAGTTCGTATCCGTACTGTGCCGGTTGTCCCGTAAGCCTGATGGCTGCAGTGATGACACCTATATGATACATTCATATATTATGACTATGCAAAGTTCCTGATGCAACGTCGCAAGCTGAGCTGGCAAAATCGAGAGCAACTCTGGGTCTTACTGTCTGAATAGCAAGTTGTCACTTCCCTTACCAATATGTCATTATGTCATTAGTATGTCATTAGTTGAACAGCAACTCTTCAAGTCAGACCTACCTTGACCTACCTATGTCAAGGGCAGGAACCTTAGCTGCACATCATCAGAGTTGGTCTTGAGATGTCTTGAGTCTTGCCCCTGAGCGCTCCCACGAGGAAGCACAACGTATATAGCATTTGCACATCCTGACAGCATGTTTCGACATGCTTCGTGCTTCAACAATCCAACCGATAATCTTGCACGTCGGTGCATGACTCTGTTGTGTCTGCCACATCAAATGCACCAAACTCACAATTCCGACGTGGTGATGGGGATGGGCTTTGGTAGAATGATATCCGATACCTTTTTGATCTTTTTTGTCAGAGTTGATGCAGTCATAAAGAAATTGCCGGGATTGCACTCCAGGAGGCCATTTTTGATCCTTCGACCATCTGTACATTAACAAAATCCTGCGGTAAGTCCAGGTAGTTGCAAAGCACGCTCGGGGGCTTTCCTGCTTTTGTGCACTCATGGAGTTGTTGCAGCTTTTGGCTGCAAGGCTCCTGCGCGTTCCAACATCAAACCGCTGTACATGCGTACACTGGCGTAAACCAGCGCTTACACTGGCTCCGCTCCGGCTACGTGGGTTCTTCATCATCCGAAGGAAACAGCTTCCCTTCAGCTGCTAGGCGCAACACATTGACGCCGGGAACTTCTTCAATGGCAGACCGCAAGCTCTTGGAGATCTCACCGGTCTTGGGATTCATCCCTTCCTGGGCCAACAAATGTAATGATTGAAAGCTCTGTGCATCTTGGCACTGGTAACCGTGACACACAAAAAATAACAGCACGGCTTGAACCTAAAATCCGTCTCCGCTTTGGGCTCCCCACATGTACACGCTTTACTCTGACAAAGTAAGAGCCGTAGGCCTGCAAAATGGCGTGCAAACACAGTAAAGAAACTTCACAACCTTCATAGTACCCATTTTACAGCTAAGCGTGCACTCAACGCTTGCAGTTGCATCATCTTCTTCTGGTTGGTTCTCCGAACAAACACTGGAACTGGAACATTCGATATGCAGCCAGGACTTTGTAAAAGCTGCTCTTTGGAACCCTTGATCACACCCAAAGCTCATCTCTGGCTGCCTGATGGGCATGTAACGGCAACAGTTGGTTTTGAGCCAACCACTGGAGCTTTTCACTTGTGCCAAGACCTTGGCTGGGGGTTCGCACCATGAACCGTCAAGGGGCGTTGACATGCGTTGATTAAAGCCATCTGAATTGGTTCCACCTCCGAAAAGTAACAATGAAGGCCTCATGATTGTTTGGGTGGCTCACCGCGATGTCCATGCTTTCTGGGGGTCGTAGCTCGCCTTGTTCACCAAATCGGGGCTGCAACTTCACATGGAGAATTTGGAAACAGGGCACTTGCTAATGTACCAGTTGCTGCTCAGTATGCACATGTTCTCAGCCGGTGCAACATGCGCCATGGTTAACATTCGTTGCATGGGGGATGGGTATACCTTTGCTAAAGGCCAGCTTTCAACGAAACCATGGGCACTGATATATTTGCTGCTCTTTTTACCCATACCGAGGGGCGCATGACATTCTTCGCCCCTGGGAGTTTGGACTTGTACACAGCGTCAGACACTCCGTTGATCCCACAATCGGCAGCTCTCCAAAGCAGCAGTGAAGCCGCCTTCAGGGTCCAAACGTCCAAAAGATCTGTGAAAGCTAACGGTATAGTCTTTAGCTTCTTGCTCCTAGTAGCGGTGCCCTTGTTACTGGAAGCAAGAATGCTCCTAGTAGCGATGCCAGGAGCCACTAGTAGCGTCCTTGTTACTAGTAGCGGTGCCCTTGCTCCTAGTAGCTTCTTGTTACTATGACCTCTCAATGACTGCGTGGCTGATCGGCGTGTTGGTCCACCGCTGCTGCTGCTGCTGCTGCTGCTGCTGCTGCCTTGTCTCCCCACTTGTCTCCTTACATGTCTCCCCACTTGCCTGCCTCTGTGATCGTGGTTTGTCTGCCACTGCTGCCTTGTCTCCAATTCTTGTCTCCGCACTTGACGCGCAAAGAAGTGGTGTTGGACCCACTCATGGCCACTGCAGCCTCTGATGCTCTTTTTTGCGAACTACTTGACCTTTAAATGTCGAAGGCGTTTGCTTTTAGAATGGACGTTTCAGGGTTCGCACGTTACCGTCAAGTGATTTGCTGAACGATGTGCACTAATAATATTGCTGCTGTATTCAAGTGTCTTTACCTTTGTTGGATGCAAGAATCCGTTAGCTTTATTGCGTGTTTGGACATGCTAGTTACTAGTTCTTTCTTCAGTGGTTCCTTTGGGTTCTGTCTGAGTTCTTGTCTTCATTTCATTCCAATTTCTTGGAATCACCAGAATCCAAAACCTTCTGTTGAAGACTCTTGCAAATCCTTTGCACGCCAATCAGATGTCAATTTGGGAAGGATACCACCCCATAAAGCCATCATACCCTAAGCAACTTGTGCCCAGCCCTACACTGGCTGAAAGTATCCTTTAGCGTTATGTTGTGTTTACAAACGTTTACAGTACCGATCGCCGGTTGGGTTTACTAGTGAACACTCGCTAGTTTAAAACAGTATAAGTCCATTTAGGGTAAAACTGATGGGGGAGTTCCCCTGTGTATGAATCAAAGGCGGACAGTAATTAAATGTAATTAATGAGATGTACACAAGGGATCGCAAAGGTATATATGGATACTGCCTGAGATCCGCATTCGAAGGACCCACCTTCGGTTTCACTCTTAAGAAGTTGTAGATCAAGCCTCAAGCCTGAACGGCTGCCATCAGTCTAGCTAATATCCCTGCCTGTTCAGCGGTGGCAAAACTGCCAAGCCGGCAATCGAACATTGCGAGTTGCTGCTCATCCATGGAGATGCCCTTGTCAGCAAACCTGCTATCTCCCGTGCAGTTTCACACAGACTTGCAAGTTATAAAGTTGGGGAGGCTGAGACTGCATTTGTGGTCCGCCTTCCAATAAAAAAAAATTCCCCCACAAGCACATTGCCACCATGCTACAGGGCGTGCAAGCGATAGTTGAACAATGCAGTGACATGTGCTGCTGCCAGTGTGCCTAGCAAACGGGCAATGCTGTCACCGCCACTTGCGAAGCACACATCTAGCGTCCGGCTGAAAACGCTTTTTGGATATCCACAGGATGTCTGATCATTCCGGAATGAAAACAAAGCTGCTCACGTGTCAAGCCTTGCCAAGCGACACAATTTCACCACCCGTCCGCCATGAGAGTGGCACTGTTGCTCCCCTCGCACCACACTGGCCGCAGGGATGACCAAGGTCATCTCATCGGACTGGGTGTAAGCACCTTAAATCACTGCTGCTTCACAATCATTAGGGCATCACTATAGAGTCCGATGGCCCCTAGCATCCCTTTGAAACCGCATCGTTGCAGGAAGGGAGAAACATTGGCCAGCTAAGGAGTGTGTGTGTGTGTGTTTGTGCGTTTTCAGCTCTCTACTTGCTGGGCAAAGCACATGTAGCACTGAACTTTGCCATAAGTGATTGGCAGCAGTACCGCATGAGTTCTGCAAAGTCGTGGGAGTAGCCCTGCGAGAACACGCCTGGGCAGCAGGCAGGTGATGCTGACCACTGACCATCCATCTGCTTATTCTCCTACTAGTACATGCAAACCGCAAACCCGCCTTCCAGGTGCGGCTAGTGACTGGACAGCTTGGTGACTGATCATATTGATCACTCTAATCACTTGGACAGGATACATCCCCCTCACGTTTGCTGCCCGGCCTGCGCTACTCAGGCGCTTTGTCAGCTTGGAGAAGCCTTGCCGTGCATGCGCGTCCAAAATGCAAGGCTTCCCCGATCTCCCTGCTATTGTATAAATTCAGCTGTTTCAAGGTCCTCGATGTTTTTATACACTCCTAGATGCATATTGTGCATGTTTTTAAACTCTCTCTCTCTCTCATTCTCTCTCTACATATATATATATATATGTGTGTGTGTGCGTGTATATATATATATATGTTGTGGGGTCAACTGGCAACGGAGGTGAGGGTCGAAAACCCACGAGGCGAAAGTGAAAAGCAAGCGGCCCCCACTAGGCACTTGTAGCGCCCTTTTCCTGCAGACCTCCAGGTCTCAGGGCCTTTCGTAGGCCAAGGTGATGCCGCCTATGGCAGCACCGCGTGCGTACACGTAGCAGGCCGGACCGGCAAGTGGAGCACATGGTTCATGCTCGTGAGGCTCAAATCCATCCAAAAGCGAATCGACATCGGCGAGCCAAACAGCATTTAAACGTGAAGGTGACACCACTGACATGCCCCAAAAGTTTTCGCTGGAGGAGGAATTGAGTCTTGTCATGAGGGTGCGAAAGCTTTCATCCGGGTTCAGGTCAGGTTCAGGGTCATCTCCATGATCCGCGTCAAGTAGTCCCTGCTGCTTGCGCTTCTTGGACGAGACAAAGTTGGGGTCGTACTTGATCCGCCAGGTCTGGTCGGTCATGAGGAAGCGCTCGAAGAGAGAGGCGGCAGCGCTCTTCGTGAAAGCGTCCGCGAGCTGGACATCGCTTGCCACCCACAAGAGGGGTGTGTTCTGCCGGCGGAGCTGCTCCACAACTGCCATCAAGGTCAGAGCAGCATACTTCTCCTTGAGAGAAAAACCAGCAGCAGCGCCATCTCCTTTCTGCACGGCGTCGTACACCGACTTCGCGTCCACCAGGGCAGCGGCCACTCGGGCCGTGGAGTTCTCAGGACTCCTCAAGTCAAGGCCTCTTCCCAAGAGCTCGTTCCATTCGGCCCGGATGTACATGAGCTCCTGCTCGCCATCGTCAAGGGCCTGGATCTCGGCGCTGAGGGAAGACTTGGCCACTCGAGCCAACTTGCCAGACTTCCAGGCGATCGGGTTGACAATCCCCTTCTCGCCAGTGAGGAAGCTGCGGTGAACCAATCCCACCATGTAGCCACCGGTGCTGGAGTAGTCCGGCCGGTTGCCGACTGCAGCGTCGGTGAAGCACACAAAACCAATCTCATCGTCCTCGTTGGCGCCAATTTGCTTCACGCCAACTGACAGGAACCTCTGAGAGTGGACCTCTCGACAGAGCTTGTTCACCTGCTGCAAGGTCTCCTTGTTTCCTCGGGGCAAAGCGCTCTGAAGGTAGGAGAGTTTGGCCATGTGCTGCGGACCAGTTTGGATGGTCCTC